TGTTTGTTTTTGATGTTGACTGAACCCAGGGCCTTGGGCATACTAGGCAAGTCTGCTTCCACTAAACTATAAGACCTTTAAAAAAAAAAAAACTTTAAGATAGGTTTTTGATAAATTTCCTAGGTGGCCTTGAACTTTCAATACCACTGCCTCAGCTTCCTGAGTAGCTGAAATTATAGTCATATGCTATTGTACACACCCAAGATCAGTTCTTTTTGGATTAAAAAAACATCATCCTGGGGCTGGGGATATAGCTCAGTGGCATAAGCGCCTGCCTGGCAAGCACAATGTCATGAGTTCAATCTCTGGTACAAAAAAAAAAAAAAAAAAAAAGAAAGAAACCCTATCAACGAAAAACATTTATCTGGCAAGCATGAGGTCATGTGTTCAATTCCTGGTACCACCCAAACTGAAGTTGTTTAATGGACAGAATACAATTAACCAAAACTTAAAGTTCAATAAATGAGTGTAAGATATATTAGACAACTCAGAAAAGAATGTTAGTGAACTAGAAAACAGGTTAATAAGAAATATCCAAACTCAGCTACCCCTGGGACTCTCCTGTGGGTTGCCAGCACAAGCTGAGAGAATCAGCCAGCCACACCTTAGAGAAACCACAAGTGTCTAGAGAAGCCCACTATGCACCCTACCACCTCTTGGGGAATCTGGGTTAGGAGAAAGCCAGTTGCTTGACCCATCACCCTACACTATGGATGGGTAGCCAATGTTAGAAGTGCCACCCCACAACTTGCTCATCCAGAGAAACCCAGGAAAATGTCAAGACAAAAAGCAAAGACAATCTCTGGCCTCCAACCCAAACAGAACAAGTCCAGGAGACATGGACATGGAAAAAAGTAGGCATCACTCACCTGAAATTTCTGGAATAATGGCAACTGAAATAAAGAAACTACTTCACGAGACTGTAAAAGAAATCAGATCAGAAATAATGTCTCAGTTAAAAGAAATGAAAAACATAATAAAAAGGTTGCTGAGCATATCTAAAGAAGACATATATTTAAAAAAAAGAGCATAGGAGAATGAGGAAAATAAATAAACAATATAGAGAAAAACTGGAATACATGAAAAAAACTCAAAAGAGATATCCAGCAAATTAAAAACTCCGTTGAAATCTGAAAAAACCGGTTGAAAGAAACTGAAGGTAGACTTTCAGACCTTGAAGACAGGATAGCAACTAGCAATTGTGAAAGGGAAGCTCTCTTAAAAAGAATGAGGATCCAGGAAATAACTGTTCAACAGTTGCAAGATGACACAAAGAAAAATAGTTTAAGAAGATGTGTCAGCAAAAAAGCAGGAATCAACACAAATGACATAAAGAGACTATTTACAGAAGTAATAGCAGAAAACTTCCCAAGCGTGGGAAAAGGATCTGGCATCTAAGTAAGTGAAGCATATAGAATTCCAACTAGCCATAACTAAATATAATAATCAAGATCCCAGAAATTCAGTGTAAGAATAGACTATAAAGGGCTGTTAGACAAAACAAACAGATCACTTATAAAGGCAAATGCATCAAAATCATGACAGTCTTTTAATACAAACCATCAAGAAGAGCTTAGAGTGAAATATTTCAAGTTCTGAAAGAAAACAACTTCCAACCCAGATTGATGTACCCTGAAAAATTATCTTTCAAAATTAATGGAAAAATAAGATTATTTCCATGACAAAGAACAACTAAAGGAATTCATGACCACCAAACCAACCCTACAAAAGGAATTCATGACCTCCAAACCAACCCTACAAAGAGTGCTGAGAGATATTCTAGAGAGAGATAAAAATGACCATTGTCTCAGGAATAGCAGCAGAGTGGGATCACCGCGCAGGGCAGACAACTGAATGGAGGGGGAAACTAGGGAGCCAACAGCAGGAAAAAAGCATGGCAGAGATAAACCAGTACATGTTGGCTCTAACAATTAATGTAGATGGGCTCAATTCACCAATGAAAAGGAACATAGGCAGAGAAGATCAAGAAACAAGATCCATTAATACACAGTATACATAAAACACATTAACTTGAAAGGAAATTCATAGACTAAAAGTCAAAGAAGAGAAGACAATACTCCATGCAATAGAGAACTAGAAAAAAGCAGGGGTAGCTGGCTCATCAACTGCAGAATAAATAAGATATGGCATTTTTATACAATAGGAAGCTACTCAGCTATTAAGGATAATTACGAAGATCTTGTAGGTAAATGGATGCAACTTGTGATCATGATCTTGGGTGAAATGGTTCAGACTCATAGGTGAACATCATGTTGTCTCCCTAGTGTAAAAAACTCAAGAAGTCAGTGGGATCCAAAATGTAAAGTAGATGTTGCAAGAGTGAAAGGGAAAGAAATGTCTAAAAAGTGAAGGTGGTAGCTATTTTTAATTCCCTATTATTTATTGTTTGTTTGTGTTTTGGTACTAGGGATCAAACTCATGACCTAGCATTTTCCAGGCAGACGATGCCGCTGAGCTAAATCTCTGGCCCCTAATTCTATTATTTTGTTTTAAAGTCCTATATTGTTTTCATTGTTTTATTTTGACTGGTTTTATTATATTTTTGGTTTGATTTTATTATATCTGATGGCATTGGCAGCTATTTCAAAGATAACAAGATAGATTATGGTAACTGTTGTTGATTTATTATCTTGTTTTGAAGTCCTGTATTACTGTCACTGTCTTGTTTTGATTGGTTTAATTATGTTCTATTTTATTTGATTTTATTAGGTTTGATGGTATAGGTAGCTATTTTGAAGATAACCAGAGGCATTATGGTAGCCATTGTTGATTTGCTATTATCTTGTTTTGAAGTCCTGTATTACTTTCACTGTTTTGTTTTATTCTATTTTATTTTATTTGGTTTTATTCTCTTAAAAATTAAAAAATTTTAAAGAAAATATCCACATTCATAAAAAATAAGAGAATAGAGAAAAAATACACAAATATATATAAATTGAGTCCCAGAAGGAGAAGAGAGAATGCAGAAGTTCCAAGGGCTGGTCAGACACTCAGTTGCCTATTCAGGGGGTACAGTGAGTAATAAACTTAGAGAAATTTGCAGGTTGGGGGTGGTACCAGGAGGAGGTCAGTGCCTCGGATTGGCTAAAGACCTCTTCAGCTGGCCCACTTTGATTAGCCAGCGAGAAGTGCAGGGGAAGGGGCAGCGTACTTTTCCTGGAACAGCAACTGTAGAAAGAGCTCGATAGTAAAATGAGGAACAAGTTTGGCATCACAAAGGAAACAAATTGAGATCTGTCTCCATACCTGGGTATTTGCTACTTTGTTTTGTGCTCAGCAGATGTTTTCTTGCCTCAGGCGCACTGGGTTATGGAGTTTTGTCCCACCCAGCCAAGAAGTATGCAATCTTTCAGCCAAGAAACCTGTAATCTTCCACAAAAACGTTCCTATTCCTGAAGGAAGTCAACATCTGCCTCACATCTACAAGGCCTGTAGTTTGAACCCCACCAATCTAAACATATGGCAGTCCACAACACAGAAGTAATGTCTGAAGCAGTAATACTTGAATTTTTCACATACAGTAAGACAACACATAATCTATCAAAACATACAAAAATGGTTTGCTAATCTCATAAAACTTCATAATTTGTTTTTTGAGTCCAGCATTATGGTTTTGTTTTCCTCCTAAATTTATGTGAAGTCCTGATGCCCTGCTCCTCAGAATGTGACCTTATGTTGGAAATAAGTTTCTTGTGGATATAATTAGTTAAGATGAGATCATAAAATAAGTAGAATGATCTACTAATCCAATAAAACTGATGTCATTATAAAATGGGAAGAATGCTAGGCAGAGATCAGAGTTGCACTACTGTAAGCCAAGGAACTACCAGGAGCTGGCAGGAAACACCTAGAAGAGACCTCCACAACACCATCTCAGGAAGCATGACCAAAGACACTTTGGCCCTAGACTTTCAACTTCAAAACTATGAAGACTAAATTTCTATTGTTTAATCTATTCCATTTTTGGTACTTTGTTACAGCAGACATAGTAAACTAACATACCCAATACAACACTATTCTTGGTTCAATCCTAGAGCCCAGAACAGGAGAAAAAAAATCATTGTTACAGGCTAGGGATATAGCTCAGTGGCATAAGTGCCTGCGTGGCAAGCACAAGGTCCTGAGTTTGATTCCCAGTACCACACACACACACACACACACACACACTCATACACACACACACACACACACAAAAATCAATGTTACAAATATATTAACAGAAAAAAGGAGAATCATATAACCATTTTAACATATGCAGGAAAAGCATTTGGTGACATCTACTACTAATCCATAGTAAAAACTCTTCTCAAACTAGCAATAGATGAGCACTTCCTTCATCTGACAAGAAACACCAACAAAACTCCTACAGCAGGACTATACTTTTTATAGACACTTTTTATTATAGTACTGAGTATTGGTCCCAGGACCTTCAGAATGTGGTTTAACTCCAACACTGTCCCCTGCCTTATTTTTCATTTTGAGACAGGGTTTTGCTAAACTGCCCGACCTGGGCTCAAATTTAGGATTTTTCTGCCTCAGTCTCTCAGAAGGATTACAGGCATGTGCCACCACACTCACCCAAATACCATACTTTTTTTTTTGACACAGGGTCTCCCTATGTAATTCAGGCTGGCCTTCAACTCATGGTGATCCTTGAGAGAGTTTTTGGCATGATAAAAGAGAAAATATAAAGTAAAAATAGCCTTTACACCAAGGACGTGAAGAGAACTCCATGACCAATGGCGGCCTGATTTTCTATGCTGGAACGTGGGGTATGGGATCTAAATATAACCTCTGACCAGGGGTAGCACTTAGGGTGGGCATTGATGAGCCTCGAGGAGCTGATTGGAGTTTTCTTTGCACGCAAACAGGAAAGGGAGTTGCAATTAAGGCTGAGAAAGAAGCAGGAAGTGGTAGGCGGTCCTGCTGTGGCCTTCAGCCACATTAGACCACCATACAGTAATTTATTCTAGGGCCAGAATCTTTCATTCCCATCTTTTTATTGTTAGGAAAAGGGCGAAGTCTCTTTTCTTATTACTTCATGCTAAAGGGGACATCCTAGTGGAATTCAGGAAGGTTGACAGGATGATGGTTGATGTCCATGTAGAAGCTGGTACCAGGTGTTTCAGCCAGGACAACTTTATCATTGGTGAATGCCCATATCTTAGACTGAAAAAACAGAGACAAGGTGCTATGAGAAGGAAGGCCACTATCATATTTAAGGACTCAGGTGAGGTAGGAGGAAAGGTGCCTTTGATTTAAATATGCCGTTTCATCAGGACCATGGTGAGGTAGAATCATTACCATGGTGAGGTAGAATTCTGAAAAATAACTGTGGGGTTATGAGGAGTGAAGTTATGAGAGATAATTATTCTCCAATCATAAAGGGTAAAAGTTAAAAATGTAGATAGGTAGGGCTTGTCTCTGGTCCAGGAGTTGAGCTGGAAAGAATAAGAGGCGTAAGAAATATAAGGCCTGACTGAATCATATTTGGGAAATTACAAGTAGAGGAGGGGAGGGTCATGGCTGTGTCACTATAAGGGAGTAAGAACCTAGACTTCAGGGATCTCACATTTGACCAAACAGCTGAGGGTAGAGAGAACTAAGACAGTTGTCACGTAGAACAACATGAAGACAATCTTACGCGTGATGTGGGAGTCTTTAGGAAAGACTGTCAAGACTCCTGTTGTAAAAAAGATAATTAATAAAATATAAGGAATTAGGAACCAAATTGGATAGCAAAACATAACTTAGCCTGAGAGTTGTGGCTGTGAGACCTTGGTGAAATGGAGACAGGTAGATGATAGAAGATGCGATGACCACTCAGGATGGTTAGATTCAGGGTTGGGAGGGCACTGCTTGGAAGGAGGTGCCATATGTCCCTGAGGAGAGGTCCTAGCACAGAGATGACAGGTGTGAGTAATATGAAGAATGATAGTCTTTAGAGAAGGATGTGTAACTACTGGGGCTAAGAGTCTGTATAGAGCCTGTGATCCTATATGGAAACAGTTATGTAAGTCAGTGATGATGTGGAGCTAGTTATCTGACTTTTAGAGAAGCTATTTGGGCTTTAGCAGGAGAGACCCTATACCCATGACTGACAAGAAAATTAAGGAAACTAGCTGAATGCTGTATGACTAATGTATGGGACAGAGAACATTAGAGAAGGTCATCTATGTATTGAAGGAGAGTACTAGGTTTGAGATTAAGTTCTGCAAGGTCAGCAGCAAGAGCTTGGCTAAAGTGGGGATTATCCTTGAACCCTTGGGGGAGCACCATCCAAGTAAGTTGTTGAAACCTGAGAGTGTCTGGATCACTCCATGTAAATGCAAAGAAATTCTGACAGAGTGTAGGGGGGTGGTAAAAAAAGGCATCTTTAAGATCTACAACTGTAAAGTGAGTGGTGGAGGGAGAGATATGAGAGAGCATGGTATAAGGACTTAGCACCGCTGGGTAGATTGGGGTAACAGCATTATTGATTACCCCAAAGTCCTGCACTAGACAATAAGACCTATCAGGCTTGACTACTGGGAGAATGGGAGTATTATAGGGTGAATGGGTAGGTTTAAGAAAACCATTGTCTAAAAGATGCTTAATTATAGGTTTAAGTCCCTGTAAATGTTTGGGATCTATGGGATATTGGGGAATGCAAGGATCTCTGAGATGAATTAAAATAGGCATGGCATGGATATCATGTGTAGGATTGGAGGTATCTCAAACTATGGGATTGACCAGAGAAGAAGGGAGTCTGGAACCTTCATGGAATAGGCCCTGTCTGCAAAGGCTACATAGGTTGGCCATCAATACCTACTATAGAGACTGAGAACTTAATATAGCAGCCTGAAAACTCAGGAAGAACACTATGTATGGCCTCTATGTCTACAAGTACAGAGAATGTCTTACCTGAGACTTCCAGTGGGACTTGGGGCTCTGAGAAGGATACCTTAGTGGAGGGTGTGGGTCCCAAGCCCCACCAATCTTCAGCAGCAAGTCCAAGTAGATCAGTCAGCGATGAATCTGGTGGTGATGAGATCTTTTTTGAGGGCAAGGAGTTAGAGGATGGCTTACTCACTCCCTGGAAGCTAGGACAGTCACTCTTCCAATGGCCCTTGAGATTGCAATAGGGGCAAGGCCCCAGAAGAACACCAGGGTTGGGGCACTCTCTTACCCAATGTCCTTCTTTGTTGCACTTGAAGCATGGTCCAGGAGGGGCTCGGGCAGCTCTATCTTGTCTTGGTTTACCTGTCTCAGAGCTCCAAGTGTCACTGCTAAAAGATCAGATTGTTATTTTTCCTTTTATCTCTGTTGTTGAAACGCAAAAAACCATATTAAGAAGGTCTCCCTGTGGGATTTGAGGGCCAAGTTTAGCCTGTTGTCTTGGGATCTGGCCTACAGTGCAAGGTATCTGTCTCCTCCACAGTTACAAGACATCTGGTTTTTATCTTGGGTAGGTATACAGCTTTAAGTCTAAAGGGGACAAAGGCAAAGAATTAAGTATGCAGGAATAATAGAATCAACAGGGTATTTATAACTTTAGCAATGGCTTCTCATAAGAAGGATAAGGATAAGGTTTAGGGAATTTTAGAAACTGACATGTCATCCATTTGTCATACATACAAATGTATGTATGACAATACATAAATAGGTTTTATAATTACCTCTTATGCTGTTAGAATGTCTAATGCCATCTGATTTTTGGAGGATGGCCTGTTTTATTAATTTTACCTTTTTATTTAGGAGAGAGATCAGCTGTGGTGTCATTTAACACCAGTTGAGTATAGTTAATTATGGCCCCAATATGCATCATATAACCTTTTTTTGCAAAAGATCTGGTGGATCCCAGCAAAAGGAATCCAAAAGGATTTATAATTTTAGTTGTTGAACATCCAGAAGACTGATAACAGTACAGTGCAGTAGAGATAGTAAGCTTAACATAAAACATTAAATGGAACTATTTTTTTTTTAATCGGTACTGGGGATTGAACTCACAACCGCCTGCTTGTAAGGCAGGTGCTTATGCCACTGAGCTAAATCCCCAGCCCCGGAACTATTATTTTCTATTAACCATGAGTGTTTTAACATTTGAGCACTGAAGAAATTTGTGACATTGTTTGGACTGTTCACTATGTAAGCATCTCTAAGTATAACATATACATTATACAAATTTTTGTTTAAAATTTATCATTTGGCTGGTGACTTTATGTTGGTCTGACATGAATCTCCTGGCTGGAGCACAAGAAAAAGGCAGATGTCTGGACCTGAAAGAAAACGTGTCATCTAATCCCAATTTTACATTTGAAGGCATGAATATATCATCAGATCAGCAACAATTAATTTCTTAGTCATATGAACTTTAGTTGAGATGTCTTCCATAAGGTTATGGAGATTATTGGTGTTGGGCGCAGGTGCTCAACATACCATACCCCACCCGGGACTAAGGACCACGCCAGCTTCCGCAATGCGCTACGTCCCTCTCCAAATTAGCTACCCCGTACTCACTTCGTATTCACCACAGCTGAGTATATTAGCCAGAGCCCGCATCTCATTCCAGCCCTTCCTCCTCGTGGCAGCCTGATTGGCTACAGTCAGATATATAAACCAGAACCCGCAACAATAAAGTTGGCAGTTCCTGTTACCCACCTGAAGCGTTTCCTGTCTCATTGGGGAGCTGAGCCGGTCAACTGGTGGCCCGTACGGAGAACCAACCTCTCTCTCCAATAGAACAGAGCGTCTACAGGTAAAACCGCCAAGCGCCGATAGCGGGGGCTACTCGGCGGGCGGGGGCTGACAGGTTAAACTGTTCAACAGGCAGCGAGTGCTGCTGGGCCGGATGGCGGGGGCTATCGGGCAACCTTGGGCGCAAGGATCGAGGAGCTCGTAAAGAGAGTTACAGGAGCCGTAAAGAGGCGGGATTGAGGAATTCGTAAAGAGAGTTCCGGGGGCCATAAAGAGGCCGGTTTTGGGGGCGCCGTAAAGGGGCGCGGGGACTAAGCTGTCCCTGTTATTAAAAAAAAAAAAAAAGGAAAAAGGAAACAAAAATAAAAATAAAAAGAAACTCTTGAAATTCCGATTAACATGGGTAATGGATGTAGACACCACCAAAAGAGGGGAAGTCACACACACGCAGTCGAGAGGGCCCTACTCTGAGGCCATAAATGAGCTGCAACACATGATTTCTCAGAGTAAATGGGTCAATGAAAGCAAGTACGAGATCCCAGGGCCGCCCCGTATAAGACCTACGGCTCTACCTCCCGACCCACCAAATTATCATGTTTACCCGAGACCCTGCCATCAGCTATGTAGCTGCCCGCAACGGGTCCAGGCATCCTCTGGGACATTCCAGGAAGACCTATGGCATCAAGTCAAAAGAGAGGACCCAGGAGGCCTGGGCCGTTTTCTCCAGGCTTTTCCGGTTGCTGTAGATGCTCAGGGAAACAGAGCCCACCTGCCTGTAGATATAAAAGCGATAGGGCACCTTAGAGAGGCCAGCACCATGTACGGTGTTAACGGGGCATATACCCTGTCCCTAGTAGAAGCCCTGGCAGGAAACGCCATGACACCTGCTGATTGGGCCAGTTTGTGCAAGGCGGTGCTCAGCCCAGGCCAATAACTTGCCACAGAACAGACCCAAGCTAATGCCCGGAACAATCAGGCCGCCTGGGACGTGGATATGTTATTAGGACAAGGGCAGTATCTCAGTAACCAGCTGATATTCCCACAAGAGGTGTATGCACAGATAAATAGAATAGCCATACAAGCATGGAGGCGGGTCTCGGCTAGGGGGGAAGTCTCAGGCCACTTGACAAAAATTTTGCAGGGCCCGAGTGAGCCTTTTTCAGATTTTGTGGCCTGCATGATGGAGGCGGCAGGGAGAATTTTTGGGGACGCTGAAACAGCCATACCGCTCATTAAGCAGCTCATTTTTGAGCAATGTACTAAAGAATGTCACTGTGTCATTAGCCCATACAAAAATAGGCCCCTTGAGGTATGGATAAAACTCTGTCGGGAGATCGGGGGGCCATTAACCAACTCAGGTTTGGCGGCCATGTTAATGAAGCTAACTAAAGAAGGTCAGGAAGGCAGAGTGGCGCCACAGAATGGCGCCCGCCCGAAAGAAGGCTGCTTTAAATGCGGCAGACAGGGACATATAAAAAGAGACTGCCCATTTTGGGGACCCGGAAGAGAACATCTCCCTTAGGGGCAGCCTTAGGGGCAGGAGACCGCATCGCTCAGATGCTAGTTTTACCCAGCCGTCATGGGGACTATCCATCATTGTCTGGTATTAGAGGAGACAGAGGAAAGTTAGGCCATATCCAACCCTCAGACATGGAATTCCCTATAATCCTCAGGGCCAAGGCATAGTTGAGCGTGCTCATCAAACCCTCAAGTCTATTCTGAATAAACAAAAGGAGGGTATTGCCCAGGGCATGACACCTAGGGCCAGACTCCAACTCCCCTGGTTAGTAGCCTCCTTTTCCCCTCCTTCTTGTATCTCGTACGGCCCTTGCAGCCAATGACTTTTCTAAATTGCTCCACCACAACCTGTTCTGTGTTACAATGTTGGGATAACAGTGCACTTTCAGCTGTCGTTGTGCAGGTACTCCAGTTCGTACCGATTCCAGCTATAGTGGACCCAGACGAGTTTCCTGTGATCCAGCTCAGGCCAACTCTCCAATTGGATCCATAAAGTTTTCTCTTTCATAAAGGAATGGGCAGGAATAGGGGCTCTGGCTACCATCATTACATTTGCTGCATTCGGCAGTTTACTTCTGCTCTGTCGGATTCGCAGACAAAGGAATAGGGACAAAGTAATCATCAAACAAGCATTGCTGGCCGTAGAATCTGGTCAAAGCCCGGCAGCATGGCTCGCCATGCTGTGACGCACGTGTGGAGCAAAGCATCGCAGGGGGTGTCGTCCTTGGCCAGGAGACACCCCGGTCCCCATGTCGGCGGGCATGCGGGTTGGGCTCATAAAATAATACTCCCGCCCCCTCCAAAAGAGCACCAATGGGTAGTGAGGTACCGTCATGACTGCGCAGCATGATGCCTCACGAGGGGCGCCGACCTCTGGAGACCCTGCGTCAGTTATAAAGAAAGGGGGAGATGTTGGGCGCAGGTGCTCAACATACCATACCCCACCCGGGACTAAGGACCACGCCAGCTTCCGCAATGCGCTACGTCCCTCTCCAAATTAGCTACCCCGTACTCACTTCGTATTCACCACAGCTGAGTATATTAGCCAGAGCCCGCATCTCATTCCAGCCCTTCCTCCTTGTGGCAGCCCTCGTGGCAGCCTGATTGGCTACAGTCAGATATATAAACCAGAACCCGCAACAATAAAGTTGGCAGTTCCTGTTACCCACCTGAAGCGTTTCCTGTCTCATTGGGGAGCTGCGCCGGTCAATTGGGGCCTCCAATTAATGAATAAGAGCTGGTTAAAGTTACCAGGTGGCCACTTTCTTGTTCATCAATTGAAGTCCTGTCCAATGTCTCCTCACCCCAAAAGATTTTGTTTAACCAATTTTAGCATCATTTTGACCAACTGGCAACCTAGATGGAAGCATGCTTTTTAAATCAGATCACTTGGTTAAAATATCTGAAAATGTAAAAGAGGAGGAAACAAGATTATTGAGCTCAAATAAAAAGGAACAGCTGTTTACAGAGCAGACAAATGGACAGACATGGACAATCTGTACAGTATAAACAGACTGGACAAACAGACAACAGATATATAGGCTGACAATCATCTTATAAAATCAGAGTGCACTCAAATATATTTGGCCAATTTGAACTATAATAGACTAGTGTGAACCTTTTTGTAGATCAATTAATAAATCTCTTGAAATAAGAATACCAGAAAAGGAACCTAATTTATGGATATCTGAGATAGCTCAGAAAGGAAAAAAAAGGAACGTAAATATTAGCTAATCTCTTAGGAATGGGGCCAGCCTGTTCCCAAAGCAGGAGCAGAGATTGAGGCTGAGAAGGCTGCAGCCACTGAGCAGCCAACCATCCCATAGGCATGTGTGGGCAATTATCCAATGACTGGCTGTGAAACAGCCACTCATCACCATGCGACAAGGAAAGGCAGGCTGTTGGCGGGTCACCCTGTGACCCACAGCAGTCTAGCTGCAGCCAGTAACATAGTGAGGTGGTTCTTCAGTGATGTCTAACAAGTTAAAAACCATAATGAGGAGGCACAAGATGGCGGCTGGTCATCATGCGACCCACAGTCAGATAGCTGCTGCTGATCCCAAGGAGCCACAAGGGGACGGCCATTGACCCTGAGACCCATTGCATGATGGCGGCTGTCCTCTACACGAGGTGTAGCAACATGGCTATTGACAATCATGTGGCCTGCCGGAAGGCTGGAATGCACGAGACAGGCAGAGAAAATGGTGATGCAGGGGAAGGGGACAAAGAACCCTCACATGAAACAGATGGGCTTGGGTGGGGAAGACTGAGAAGTTGGAGATTGGGGAGAGACGCCAAGGGAAGGATTAGAGACTGCTGTGGGCGAGGAATGGGGAGAGAATGGCGCAGGAGGCACAGAAACCTCTGGCTGAGAAAGCTGTAGGATTTGGTATGAGAGATACAGGGAAGGAGCCGTAAAGACAGGATATGGATCATCTAAAGGGGTCTGGTGGGGAGGGAGGGAGAGATCCTGGAGGAGCAGAGCAAGCCAGAAGTATTTGGGCCATCACAGAAGACAGTGAGAGAGACACATTCTTAAAGTGAAAGGATGAAGGGTTTCTGCCAACTTGCCGCCATTGTGACAAAAGCATAAATAAAAGATCAACTTTTGGTTTTATAGCCTTCTAGAAGAGGCCAAGAGCACCAAGATTATGAACCAGGCACCCAAGAGGTGTGTTTTTCAGGGGACAGGAAGTGGTCCCCATGACTGAATTATAAGTGAGCCGAGAGAACAACTTCGCCTCAGGACATAAGAGCTTTAGCTCTCTCCCAAGGAACATGGAAGCTGTCCTGGGTCACACTTATAAAAGAGGTCATCACCTATTTTGAAAGTGTGACATGGAAAGTCCCAACACCCAATCTCTTCCACAGAGTCAGAGTGCAGGGCAGGGTCCCGGGGAACAAAAATATCAGTTTTGCCTCAGGCCATATGGCCTAAGGAGTGTGAAAATGGGTATCCCTGTTCTGGGATGGTAGGATGGGTTTTCTGTCCCACGCTTGCTAAGGAATGGAAACAGAAAACTCCAGTCGGACAACAGCTCACCTGCATGGAGCAAGGAAGGTCGCTGTTGCATGGGGATTATCGGCAGGAAGTAAACAGTCCCGGAGGAAGAAAACGGTGGTTCTTAGACAGGGGGACTCAAATTGAGAAGGATTCCCAGGAGCCACTCACTCTGCCATCTGAGTCAGGGAACCATTATGAAAGAGTTTTCAGCATGATAAAAAAGAGGATATAAAGTAAAAATAGCCTTTACTCCAAGGACATGCCGAAAACGCCATGACTGCCAGTAGCCTGGCTTTCTCAGCAGGAAGGTAGGGTATGGGATCTATATAGAACTTCTGACCAGGGGTGGTGCTTAGGGCGGACATTGATGAAGCTCAAGGAGCTGACGAGTTTTCTTTGCACAGAAACAGTAAGGGGAGTTGCAGTTAAGGCTGAGGAAGAAGCAGGAAGTGGTAGGCGGTTCTGCTTTGGCCTTCCGCCACATTAGGCCTCTGCCATAACCATATAGTAATTTATTCTAGGGCAAGAACCTTTCGATCCTCTTGCCTCAAATTCATGGTTGCTGGGATAACAGGTGTATACTACCACACCTGGCCACCAAACACCATACTTAATGACAAATTATTGAAAGTTTTCTCCCTGAGATTGAAAACAAAATAAGGATATATCTATCACCTCTTTTGTTCAGCACTGTATAACCAGTGCAACAAAAGAAAAAGAGGATGATACAAATATTAGAAGTTAAGTTCTCATTATTTGCAAATATAAAGATCATGCAGCAGAAAATCCAAACTAATCTACAGATGCATCATTGTTCAAATTAAATAAATTTACAAAGATATCTGAATATAAGAGCAACATAAAAAAATCAATTTACAAGCCAGGCATGGTGGCACATGCCTGTAATCCCAGTACTTGGGAGGCTGAGGCAGGCGAATAACTGTGAATTCAAGGCCAACCTGCACTACACAGCAAGACTCTATCTCAAAAAAAATCAGTTACATACTACCAAAACACAAATAGAGCTCAATGACATAAACTCGTGCATGGCAAGTGCAAGGTCATGAGTTTGATTCCTGAGTTTTGATTCCAAAAAAAAGGAAAAAAAATTTACAAAACACAAATAGAAAGAAATGGCAGTGTTAGAACCTGGAAGTGTAAGTAAGGACCAAAATGTATAATAGATATTGAGAAATGGGATGAAAATGTTCAACTGAGAAAGATAACAAGGGAGGGGGAGGGAGTAAGGAAAGAAGGGACAAGAAAAAAGAGCAATAGGAAAAAATGAAAACAGCTTGTGTAAATAAAGAAGGGAGAGGAGGCAAATGTGAAAAGAAAGAAGAAACAAGATATACCATCTGTAGGCGCAAATTCTCTCGATGAATGTCATCATTAGGTATATCTAAAAGGTACCAATAAAATAAAAAGTAAAAAGAGAGAGAGAAAGAAAGAAAAAAAAAAGAAAGAGCGGGCAAACTACATACAAAGGTAGTCAGTCAGACTGAAAGAAACATCAGGAATCATAGCTGGAGGAGGAGGACTGTGTAGGAGCAGAGGATAATTTTCTTTTTCTGAGACAGGGTCTTACTATGCAGTTCAGGCTGGCCTTGAACTCACTATGTAGCTCAGGCTGGCCTCAAACTACCAGTGATCCTCCAGCCTCAGCCCCCCGAGGGCTGGGATTAAGGCATGTGCCACCACACCTGGCTCAGAGGATAGTTTTCAACCCAGAATCCCATACTCAGCCAACTGCCAGTTAAAGAGAACAAAATAAATCATTTTATAATAAACAAGACTAAGAGAATCTACCACCTATAAATTTAAGATTTAGGATGAAAAGACTTTGAGAGTTAATTATTCACAGAAGTTTAATTGTAAAACTTTAAATTCAATTTATGAAAAAATTCAATTTATAATACATAAAAGATGTATTTCAGAAGAGGCTGAGGCTGAGCCTAGATCAAAGTCTAGCCTAGACAAGTTAGTATTTTAGCAAGGTCCTGTCTCAAAATTAAAAAAAAAAGAGATAAAAGCTAGAAATGTAGAAAGAGGAGAGAAAATAAGGAAGAAAAAGAGATAAAGGAGGGAAGGAGGGAGAGAACCCAGAAGATATGTATGGTTGCAAGCTATAAATGTGAACAAGTATATCTGTGGAATGCCTTGGTAAATATGGATCTCTATTAACTGAAAAGTGATAGCAGCTATTCTGGAAACATTTGTACTACTATCTAAATAACATATTAGACCATAGTAACATGAAAACAGAAAAGCCTTCAAAGACAGATTAACACATATAAAGTTCTTGTATTACTTGGGGAAAGAATCGAGATATTAACATTATTACTTTAATGGCATATATTTGTTTTGTCATTGATGTGGTTCAAATTTAAAAAGCATTAAAAAACTACCAAACATAGACTATCTGATTCCATTTCCCTGCTTCCTTGGGCTCCTCTCATGTTCTCTTGTGTATCAACCTGTTGTTACCAGTTTCTCATGTGTCCTTTCAGAGATGCAGTTAACCTTTGGCTGAGTTAGAAGAGTATAAATTAAAGCTAAATGTAGTGGTACACACCTGTAATCCCAGCACTTAGGAGGCTGAGACAGGAGGATTGTTGCAAATTTGAAACCAGCCCAGGCTACCAAGCTGAGCTCAAGATCAGCCTGAACTGCACAGCAAGACCCTGTCTCAAAAAAAAGAAAAAAATGTACAAATTAAACTAGTTGTGGTGGCACATATGCCTATAATCCAATTACACATGAGGGACTGAGGCAGGAAGATCACAAGCTTACGTAGTCTAGGAAACTTAGCAAGATATTGTCTCAAAGTATAGCAAAAGAAGGGGCAGTAAAGTTTGGGTAAAGTGGTAAAGTGTTTGCCAACCAGGTGTGAAGCCCTGAGATTACTCCCTAGTTCGGTACTTGAATTCATTTTTTAGGTCTCCTCCCAAGTGTTACCCTGTGCCAAAAACATCTCCACTCCCTTCCTCTCCCTGCCGGTTTGATCCTTCCTCAAGATGTGCCTTCACTACTTTTGTTACCCTTTATCTGTCGCCTCCCGACTCCTGTATTCCCAGAGTGTCAATTCCCTGTGTCCCCTGAACTGCTTGCTCCATGCCTGTTTTAGAGAAATAGCTGAACACATGGTCCTCACAGCAGCCACAGACAGCATGACACTGGGTCATGGAGAGGGTTACACAGTCCCTGGCCAAACAGCCATAGTGCTTGAGCAGGGACCCTGGCTCAGGCCTGTTAGATCCTAATCCCTGTTCCCAACTCCATGACCTCCTGTGAGCACCGCAGGGTGGGAACAGCCACGTGCTCCCGTCAGCTTCCAGCCTGGCTGCCCTGGGCCTTTTCCAGAATATAAACAGTGCCAGAGAGAGAGCACAGTTTCCACATGGCTGACTGTTTCCCAGAGCATCCTCTGGGAGCCATAATGTGCCCAGTGCCTGCCAGGCTCTCCAAATCTATGGGCTGGTGATAAAATGCATTAAGCTTTATTGTGTGCCAGGCAGTGCCCTGTTTCCTGTGCATCACTGAGGGTCATAGATTAACTCAAACTAGTTTAACCTTAAGTTACCCTGGGGACTTTGTGCTGTACTAGGCCATATAATAGTTTGTTCTAGAGGAAGTCGTACAAATGCATTGTGTTTAAGGGAGTGAATGCAGGACTTTAGTCTCAGTGGAATGCTGCTGGGACAGCAGGAAATATTTTGCTAAAATACTTCATCTAAAAGACTGGTGAACAAGAAAGCTAGGTATAGTCAGAGATGGTCCCTAGGATAGTTAAACAATTAAGTTCTCTATCCCTCCCATTTCCCACTTCTGCTTTTTGTAAAGAGAAGACTCTAGAAAACGACCAGAGAAAACTAGGATCATGCCCCTGACTCCATAACTTTGTTTCTCTGGGATTTTTTTCATCTGCCGCCGCTTGTTTTCATGACCTGTCTCCTCATAGAAACCAACACATCACCTCATCTAATGTAACAGCAGTGAGCAGAAGGGCATCATTAGCCCCTTCTGCCCTACAGACAGGAAATAGGCACAGCAAGAAAGTCTTGTGCTGGGACTTATAACCATCCTGGGCTGTGGCCAAAGGAAAGTGGCAGGTCTGATGGTAACTGACAGAGACTGGAGTGGGAGGGCTTAGAGGTGGCACACAAATTGAAGGTATAGGAGGTAAAGGAAAGTCAGGACAGGAGCAACATGGATCTGAGGTTGGGGCTTTGAAACTTGCTATGGACTGAAATATTTGTGTGCCTCCCAAATCCTAACTCTCAATGTTATGGTGTTAGGAGGTGGGATCTGTAGGGCTTCAAAGTGGAGTCCTCATAAAGATGAATGTCTTTGCTTTACTTCTCTTTTCCTGTGCTCCTGCATGAGAAGACACATGAAACACAGCCATTTGTGCCCCCAGAAAGACACTAGTTCTGGTAACACCTTGATCTTGAACTCCTAAGTCTCTAAGACTGTAAAAATAAAGGCTGGTTAAACTGCCCAGTCAATGACAGTCTCTTACAGTGGCCTAAATCTGAGGGCCTAAAGTCTCAGCTGTACATCTCAAGCAGGCTCCAGTGTTGGCCTGCTCTTCTCTCATGCGTGACTATGCCACCCTTCACGGTTTTCAGCTACCCTGAATGCTGGTATGCTCAGC